CTGAGACCATCAGGATACGAGGTATTGTGATAACGTTCCAGCTCCCTGCCATGACAACTCAAAACAACGAGAACAAGGCCTGTCAGCTCCTGGACATTTCAGCAGAAATACAATCAACCTTAGGCCAATCATTGTTGCCAACCTCCCAAACACTGAGAAAAATATATAATAAATAGAGCTAGAAATCCACTACCAAGACCAAACTCTAGACAATACAGTAACAATACAGCAAAAGGGACTTGTAAGTCCAACCCTCAGAAAGTAAATGATGAGATGAGACTGTGAGTGTAAGTTGGACTGCAATATAATCCATTTGATCTTTCATATTCTCCATCTCCAGCACTTTGCTTCCTGACAAGACAATTGGTAAAGATAAAGGAGGCAGCAATTTAAAGACATGCAAAATTCACAAACTGCAGAGAAATCAACTAACTGTTTGAAACATTAGACTGCAGAAAATGGTTTTTCACCCAAGTTGTAATTAATACATAGGATTCGTTAATGAAAGATGCTGCAAGGGCTACCACCATAGCAATCATCAATACAAATGGCTACGTACACCAGGAAAGTAACAATCAATAGTGTTTTATATCCATTTCAATGCTAGCCACCTTGACCATACTTTTGTGAAAAGGCGGGATACAGATTCAATAAATAAATCCTAGACCCAGCAGGTAGGGCAGTTCGTGCTTGGAAAAACATGCCCGCTTACTGAACACAAATTCACAGGATGGCTCCTGCCTTCTCGTCTTGTTTGCCTGTCAAGCCTAAATCAGAGCGCTGGAGTAACTTTGCCTTAACACAGTACAGCAACTATTATAATAAGTAACACACAGGTTTCATTATTTTAGCTCTGAAAGGCAATTCTAACAAAATTATTCACAGCCTGAAAAAGACCACACAGAGAAGAGGATGTGAGATAAGAAAACACCAGAACCTAAACTCCAAGGAATAAATCCCATGCTCACAGGATGCTTTGGAGTTCCCTCTCCTACTTACTCCCACTGCAATGTATGGCTCTCCCTGGATGGCTACGTGGATCAACACCGAGAGGCCATTATCCCTAATATTGTGGCTCTGCACAATACTGCAGCTGATATCTCAGATGAGCAAAACTCCCAGTGTGGCTGGGCAGCGCCACGGAAATAGGAGTTGCCTGAATGTAGCAATAAATGCTTCATGAGGAGCAAAGCTCAACCTAGGAAAATAAGGCAGCCAGGAAGGCCAACCAAAAAGGAAAGCTCTGTGCCTGGAAACATGGGTTCAAGCCTCTTGTTGCCATGAGTGGATAAAAGACCACCAATGCTGTCTAAAATGCAGCAAAGCAGGTTGGCCCAGACCCATTTTCTGGGGTGTCTTCTTTGGCTAGAGTCCATAGTCTCAGTTAGTGGTATCACACTGACCTTGGACCCCATGACCTATCGTCATGCCTGTGTGAGTGCAGAGGAGAGTCAACATGGGCAGTGCAGTCCCAGAGAGGAGTAAGCTCCTCAATGCATCCTCCAAGGTCAGGGCAACTACAAGAGATTCCAGCCATGGCACCAATCCAGCTGTCAGAAAGAGTGAGTTAAGAAGAGTAGGTGGAGTTGGTCTCAGCAGAGTCAAAGGAAGCAGTTTGGCTTATGCCCATGCAGCCTCCTAGGCTTTTTCTTCTTCTGAGGGTCGGATGATTTAGGTGTTATTGATTTTTCAAAAATCTGTTGGCAACTAAAATGATCAAAGACCCTGTCGTTACAGCCAGGCTACTGGCAAAAGAAGAGATGCAGCCCTCACCACTGAGAAAGCAGTGCTCAAGGCCAAAGCAAGAGTGCGGCCTACCTATTGAAGGTCACAGAAACCCCTCTACTTCCAATGTCTGCTTCCAAAGGACAACCTTCAAGCTAATACATCCCACTTACGATCCCTGGCTTGTTTAGTGAAAGTCTCGAGTGTGGGTTTAAATCTACAGTATAATTCTCTCCCATATAAGTGCAATCTTGCTGCTGCAATGCACACAATTAAGGAAGGTGGACTTCAAGGCCATATGCATCGAAGGCAAGTGAGTGTTCAAAGGATCACAAGCAAAAATAAGCTGAATGGATAGTGCAAAGAAAAAAATTATAACAGACATAGAGAAGAGATGGAATAAAACTTGGGTTTTACCTACACAATTCTCAACAACAAGCTCCTCATGAGGAAAGCCAATGGCAGTCAAAGGGGAACTGAGGAAATGGGTGGGAACCCTCTCTGAACATGCGCACTGGGAGGGGGTCCAAAAAGTCCTCTGCTACAGAAGCTCTCTGAATTGAGGTTCCATGAAGGCTCAGAGCCCATATAGGTGATACACAGAAACGACAATGATTAACTGTTTGTTCCCAGCTGGCTCCAAGCCTCTTGCTCCAACAACCTTCCCAGATAATAACTGTAACAAGCAGGGTCCCCCAGGGCTCTGTCCTGGGGCCGATCCTGCTTAATCTTTTCATCAATGACATGGAAGAAGGGGTGAACAGTCTGCTGATCAAATTCACAGACGATACTAAAACTGGGGCAGTGGCCACAACTGAGGAGCAGGTACTCCAGAGCCAAATGGACTGGGCAGGAGACAACAGGATGGTGTTCAATGTGGATAAGTGCACGGTCTTGCACTTGGGACATAGGAATAAGCGTCATAAGTACAGGTTAGGGGATAAGTGGCTGGAGAGCAGGACTTGTGAAAGGGATCATGGGATGCTGGTTGACTGCAGGCTAAACATGAGTCAGCAGTGTGATGCAGTGGTTAAGAGGGCGAATGCCACCCTTGGTTGCATAGCCAGAAGTGTGCTTCTAGATTGAGAGAGGTATTACTACCACTCTACATGACTCTGGTGCGCCTGCAACTGGAGTTTTGTGCTCAGTTTTGGGCCCCTCATTACAGGAAGGATATAGCCAGGTTCGATTCAGTGCAGCGTAGGGCCACAAGGTTGGTGGCCGGTTTGCAGGGGATGCCGTATGAGGCGAGGCTGAGGGAACTGGGTCTCTTCAGCCAGAAGAGGAGACTCAGAGGGGATCTGTTGGCAACATACAGGTATGTGAGGGGATGTCACATGGAGATGGGTAGAGACCTGTTCTCCCCTGCAGAGGAAGGCAGGACGCGCTCCAAGGGAGCAAAGCTCAGGGAGCCAAGGTTCCATTTAGATGCCAGGAAGTACTTCCTGACAGTTAGGACCCCGAGGGTGTGGAACGGGCTTCCATGGGAGGTGGTTGAGCGCCTATCGGTGAGGGTGTTCAAACATAGGCTGGACATGCACATGGTGGGCATGTCATGAGCAGAGCCAACTGGAGCCAGGGGTCAGACTAGATAGCCCGGGAGACCCCTTCGTACTCAGCCTGTTTCTATGTTTCTAATGTTGTTACTTTACACAAAGTACTAGAAAGATGTTCAGAAATAACACGTGGAAGTAAGGAAAGATACGGAGACATTTTTCTTTCTTTCTCATGATAATGGAATCCATGAAACCAATTAGTGGAAGATTCAAGGCAAATAAAGGCAAATCTTTCGCACTCTACATAGCTAAACCATGGAATTCACTGCCCCAAGATGCAGCGATGACCATCAATTTGGGTGACTTTAAAAGTGGATTAAACAAATTCACGAAGATGAACAACTACAGATCCTGACGGCTCTATTCTGCTTCCAGTATCAGCAGCAGTATGCCTCTCGACACTAGGTGCTGCGGAACATGAGCAAGAAAGTGCTCATGCACTCCTGCGCTGCTCACAGGCTTCCAGTGGCCTTTGACTGGCCAGGGGATGAACAAAATGCTGGACTAGAAAAGTCTTTGGTCTGATCAAGCACAAATTCTTATGAAAGCTATCCTAGTTGAGCTTTTCAGCAGCAAGCCAGTCAATCTCACTCTTGCCTTTCCTCCATCTGTTGTACTTCAACAATATTCACAATACCCTGCTATTTCCAGTTTGCATGTGAACACTTTCCCCACATTACAGTGCATCTCTATTAAAAAATGATAAAGTAAGCCAGGATGCAGCGTTAACTTACCACTCCAATGCATTTTTTTAAGATGCTCCAGACACTGAAATCACTCCTAGTAAACATTGGGGCAGGTAATGATGTTCTGTAGCAAGAGCAAATTAACAGATTAATGCCACTGATAAAAATCTTTTTGTAAAGGCATCATATAAAATCTCACAAACCAAATCCATTATTTAATTTATTTACTCATTTTGATGAGTAGCTGCTTATCATTCAAATGCAAATACCAGCTTTTATCAGCTTAGGCTGATTTACCAACTACAACCCTATCTCAATAGGCACAGCCCAGCCACAGTGATCCATGCTGTGGTAACCTCCTATTTGGATTACTGTACCATGTTCTATGTTAGAGCAGAGCTGCACAGCTATTAATGAAGACTGGACCACAAGACCATATCACTCCAGTCCTCTTTCAGCTGCACTGGCTGCCAGTTGAAGTCCGGACCCAACTCAAACTACTGATGTTAACATTTAAAGCCCCGAACAGTTTCAAACCAGGTTATCTGAAGGAACATCTTGCTCCATAGGTTCCTATCTGAATCCTAAGATCATCCACAGAAGTCCTTCTTAGGGAAACACTCCCAATTGACAAATAGGAGAAGGGCCTTCTCAGCAGTTGCAACCCATTTCTGGAACATGCTCCTTAAGAAGATGTGCCTGGCACCATCCTTGTTTTCTTTTTGGAGCTAGGTGAAAACCTTTTAACTTGCCAGATATTTTAATAGAAAAAAACTGTTTTAATCCTGTTTTTATTGTACTGGCTGCTATGCTATCTACTGATTTCTATTTTAATTGCTCTAGGTTGTTTGAATCTTGGTTTGATTGCCTTTGTTTATTTACATAGTATTATTGTACAGTTGCTATATGTTTTTAAAATTGAAAACCGCCCAGAGAGCCCAATGGGCTTTGGGGTGGTATATAATTTAAATAAATAAGCAAGCCAGCCAGCCAGCATAGGACAGATGCAGGTATGTGAGCTGCCTATTGCAGAATTTCTTCTCCAGAATTCTTTCAGAACCTTGTATTATTTGAATTTTGCAAGACTGTGAGGAAGTTTGACTTTGATTATCTTCTGGCCATTGACCTGCATGCATTTTTAAATTCAACCAGAGGGAAATAATGTAAAGTGGTTCTAAGATTGTAAAATCAGCTATTTATTGGAAATGAAAAGATATATTCAAAGCAATGAGACTAATTTCCAAGCAAAGTATGTGTAAGTTGTTGAACAAAGCAAGGTGAAGTCGTGACAGCAAAGTTAGACTAGACAAGAACATGATTATTCCCCTTTTTGAACGGAAGCGAAGAGCTGGCAATTTCACCAAGGTCACTCTGAGCCATTTCATATGACATGGCAGCCTTGAAATGAAGCACTCATTTGCTTGCCTATAGCAAGTAGCACTTGCCTCCACAAAACCAGGCAGTGATTATCTACTTAGTAAGTTGAAACAAATATAAAAAACTTATTTTTGCACTGAGATATAATCTCCCAGCTACATTTATCTATAGTGATGTCCAAGTGCTGTTAGTGGGGAATAGACTATAAAATTCACAGCTGCTGGGTTGTTAGATTGTCTTTTGTTCTATTTGTAACACAACGTTTTATACTTTGTTCTGAGTATGGTTTTTGAAAGGCATCTGGCATCACCCAAAACAAAAACTGAAAATGGAACAAAAATTCAAGCAAACCAAGAATGTTTCTAGCTGCAGACCATGTGGAAGCAAGACAGGATCTGACTCCATAAAAAATGAAAGCTTTAAGAGAAGTATTAAAAGCAACCACTGTATTTGGCATGAACTGGGTATGAAATGCTAGGTCAGCCTGCTCTGGAGAATACCTGTGTTTCTTGATTCCATTCTCTTGTACCGGCCCATCGTCTTTGTGTCTTCCAGTCCTATTACTCTGGTGGGCATCCACTTCAACTTTATGTATTGCTTCTGAAAATTCCCCGGAAGAATTATCAGAATCGAAGCCTGCAAAAATAAAGCGCACAAGTTTTGAAGACTCCAAAGGGACTCTATTATTCTGGCACACAATTAGTAACAGAAATAAAGGAAACAGTCTAAAGGCAGCCTCAATTTAAAGTAGATAATAAGCATACGTCTCTCTTCAAAAGCCCAACATATAGTTTTATTAGGAAACGTCCCAGTGCCTGGTCAATTTGTATTGGAAAGCTTAGTCACTAATGCAATCAGGCCTTCGCTGTGTGCACACATGCCTGAAATCAACTGTGACTAAATATTCATGTTACCTCAATGCGAAGGAGCATCCTTTTAAAATGCCTTGAGTTTTGTGTATGCTTATTACTTATTCCCTGAGTGTTTATGCCAATCATCTTCGGCAGAAGATTAACTATACAAGACAGGAAAACAATCCTGGAGCAAGAGGGGGTATTTGATGAGTGATACCTCATTTCTCCCTTAAGGAATTAAATCCACTGATTCTTGTTCACAGCCTAGCAGCTAAGGGCTAGCTCAGCTGTCATATTTACACATTTCCTTCTGTCATGTTGCAGAAGTTCATGAATCTTTGCTAGGGCAACTTTTCTCAGTAGAATGGCTTGAGTTCTGAAGTTGGCAGAGGTGCTTTGGTTGGGACAGACACAAACGCTTCCTGTTCATGTAAAACTGGGTTTTGCCTAGAAGTCCAGGTATCTTGTAATTATGCTAGCTCCTAAGAATTCAAAATACTTTCCCACTCCTGACCATGAATCACTAAGATATACAACCAAACTAGCAACTAAAATGGCCTTCTGAGAAAGGGTATGGGTAATATGAATAACAGTTTGATCATGGAAGGCACCTGATTACTTGCTCTTTGGCTACCTAGTACTTCCATTATTTTGGAGACCCTTATAGATCCTGCATTGAACCCAAAAACTATAATCTGCAGAGTGAACCTACTACAGTAAAGTAAGTTAACTATGTCATTGGACATGCTGGAATGACCTCCATGAATGACAACAGTTCTCCAAAACAGGACGGTATTTCTATAGCAGATGTTCCTCTTTTTTAAAAACAATGAAACACACTGGCATATCCTATCCTCATTCCACAGGCACAACGGTAATTTAAGTATGCAATTAATTTAAGAATGCAATCAATTAAATTTAATTTAAGTTTAAATCTGTCTCCTCTGGGCCTTCAGAATAATCCTCCTTAGTTTATCATTTAGACTCTCCATTGATGTTGGACAATAACGTAATTTTAGGAAAATATGGAACCATTATAGCATGGAAGTAATCACAGCCAGCCTTGAAAGGGAACACAAACAAGCCTGAACACACTGCATTTATTTATTTACAGCATTTGTGTACTATTCCATATGTTGCAAGATTCCAGAGCACTAAACAATAAAAAGATAAAGCAGATGAAAGACTAAAACCAATACATTAAAAACAGGACATTAAACCATGGCTTCCATACATACAACAAAGCCATTGTCTAAAAGTTCACAAACACAAATACTATATTTAGTTTCCTTTTATATAGTACCCATAACTGAAGCCTAATGCATGAAGGGGCTATCAATAGCTGCCAAAACGGGCAGTGCAAAAGCCAACCATCAAGCCAAAGATCACAATCTTTCAAAGAAAAAAAGGGAAATGGGGAAAAAAGCTACAGTGAACCAAAAACAGCTCAAGACTGTCGTGAGAAGAGGGAAACAACTATATGCTGCTGCCGGAAGACTGTGGAAGGAGTGGTAAACAACCACGATGAGCCTAATTATTGCGCGCACACACCATGGGCAATTCACAGAAAAACCAACCTAATGTGGGGATTGCCACTGTGGGTCGGCAGGATAGGCAAAGGCACAGCGACTGAGAGAGACTTAGCTTTTGTGAAATGACATTGTAATTTGTTTTAGAGTTATCTGAGAGTTACTTATGCCTCAAGTAACCCCTTCCGCCTGGGTTTGTACAGCACAACAAGCTGCTGCAAGCTGGGAGCCTCAATGATCAGTAGAATGCAACAGCCCCTCTAGATAAGCTAACTCAAAATGGGCTGTGTCACAGCACATCCATGTGTGTGCGTGTGCACAGACAGAGACAGGCTAGAAAACCCTGCAGACCAGTTATCCCGAAGGGGCATTAGTAAAGCCACTGTTGAAGCCAGATGAATTCCCTTGTCTATGCAGAATTATCACCCATTTCCAAAAAAAAAACATTTTTAAGAATGGGTGGTTTTATGTCAATTCCAGAGTGTTCTGGATGGCACTGATTACAGAAAGTCCCCTACAAATGAACAAGTTACGTACCAAGAGTGTATTTTCAATTTGTTCGTAAGTTCAAAAAAGTTAGCCTAGGTACCCAACTAACACAATTGGCTATATAGTTCTGTACAGTAATAGATTTATAACAACACTGGAGGACTTCTGGAAGTTAAACTTCCAGGTATGTGGCAGTGCAGAAATGCACCCATGTTATTCGTCTGATGGGTTCTTGCTCACATGGTGTTACCATAAGGTTGATGTGACCTGGGTTATGCTTTGCTGGACTCACCTCTCTCAATTATTACAGTAAAGTAGACAAAAGCACGTTCACCCCTTTGAAAGTTCATAACTTGAAGGTTCATATGTAGGGGATTCCCTGTATTTAGATCCATTCTGGCTTTCATCCTGGCTTCAGAATAGAAACCACCTTGGTTGTGCCCTGGTAAATTATCTGAATGAGGGAACAGATAGGGAAAGTGTGACCCTAATGGTTCTTCTTGACCTTTTGATAACATTGCCCATAATAGCTTTCTGGACCATCTCTCTGGGATGAGACTTGGAGGCCTGGTGTTACAGTAGCTCCAGAGGTTCCTAGGGCAGGTGGACTCAGAAGATGTTTCGGGCCACCCCTTGGCCACAGAAACTTAAGATTCCATCTTATCCCTGGTATTTTTCAATATCTATAGAAATGATTGGGAGATGTCATCAATATGTGGATGAGCCACAACTCCATCTCTCTTTTCCATCATCTAGTTAAAGCCCTGGGTGCATGCCTGGTACTGAAAGTTATGAGAGTTAACAAACTGAAACTTAATTCAAATAAAAAGGAAACACTATGTGTGTTGGGAAATCTGCATCTCTGAATAGAGAGAGGTTTAGATCTGACACTGGATGGGGTTAGGGTTTTTCCTGAAGAACCTGGTACACAGTCTGGGAGTGCTCCTAGACTTAGGGCTTTCTATGGAGATGTGGGTGCCATCAGCTGCCAGGAGTGTTTTTAGCAACTTAGGCTGGTTCAGAAAAGATTGACCAGGTTGTAGTGAAACAAGCTTTGGCTTTTAAATAACACAGAAGAGTCATTTATTCATATCTGCATCTGACACTTAAATCTTTATGTGTTTTGCTTCACAATCATTGTGTTCATGTTTTTGCAGTATTGTAAGTTGCCTGGTGAGGGCAGTGCATCCTGAAAGGTGAGTTAAGCGTCACTTAAATGAATGATAAATAGACATTACTGTGAAGAAATAATCCAGGTCATAAATGTTCTTAGCAACATAACTACGAGCCCACCAAAGATTAGGAGCAACCTAATAAAATGTTCATCATCTACTAGTAAACAAAGGGCAACAGAGGCAGTAAATGAAGTGGCCAGTAGCCAAATTTTCTAAGCCAGTTAAGCAGGATCAGGTGGGAAGGAAGGAGAGAGCCTGATGTTAATAGGCAAAATAATAGGTAATTTGCCTGTAGTTAATAAGTAATGAATTATTATATGATGCTTTCATCATACAGGGTATTACAGGGGAGGAACAGAGCAGCTGGTATATTTTAACAATCTATTGCAATAAAAATATATTGCATACTCTAAAAACGCAAAGAAAAGGCTAACAGGCAGCTCTCAAACAAATTCAATAAACAGACAAACAAACAAGACACCTAATTGCCATAGCTGGTTAATTTGGGGCTAATTTCCACTTTTTATGCTATGCTTGAATATAGCTACCTGGCAGAGGAACCATTTAAGAATAAGAGTTGGCACCTTGTCATACACTATACCCTACTTTGGACTGATCAGAAGCACCACTTACTAATTCTATACCAGAGTGACTGGTTATAAAACGAGTGATTTTTGAGCACTCTTTTTCACACAGAGTTGCTTGCCAAAACTACAAAAGAGTATGGATCATGGTCAAGTGAGCACAGTCAGTTCACACAGTCTGTTCACATCATATGAGGACCTCACTGCCTCCATATGAACTAAACATGCATCAAATCATATATTCAGCACTTCTCTGAGACTGAACATTGAAGGGGAAGTTTGGGAGAAATAGATCTGCTCCCTTTTAGGAAGTCTGTTCACTATTACTTACCTTTTCACTCAAGACCATAAATAGGCTTCTGAAGAAAGCTAGAGTTCCTGGAACTCCATTTAAAAAAAAAAGGCTGACTACATGCAAGACTGCATGAGCTAACATTCCAGAATACTGTACAGAAGCAAATAAACGTATGGATTTTTGCATTTAGCATCATCAACACCCATGCAATCTTCAAATCTTTGTACACTGGCAATAGAAGTAAGAGGCACACAGATTACACAAACCACCAAAATAATATTGTCCCAATAGTGGGAATTATAGACTGCACTTGTCCGAAGGCACCATTATCATTTCCCTGTCATGCTCTAACTCAGCTCTTATCAGTTATCAAACACAAATACCGCACATCCTATACATTTTGAGATCTACAATCTCTCCACAGGATCCAAAGGTACCTTGGCTGCTTATTAGAGAGTTTGAAAGTTCAACAGGCATGCAACGCAGGAAGAAGTGTTAAAGAATATGATATCTGTATTAGGAAAGAAACAACTAGTTCCATGTTCACATTGGTAAAAATTCTGTATATACACATTTTTGGTATATGATATGGAAAAAGAAAATTAGTTTTTCCTCCTCAGATTTTCCAAACAAGTACCTATATTGATTTCTGGCTTTTTAAAATTTAGACCACACAGGCTAACTGTAAGTTCCAAATTATTCAAATTTAC